CGGAATTATCCTTCAAACCCTGTCACTCAGCATTCGGTAATTTTAAACAATTTCTGCGGTATATGAGCCGACACACCTGTGAATGCAGCTGCCGTGACAACTATGTACAGTTAACTCGTGTTGAAAGTTCCTGTGAATGCCATTGTAGTGAGCTGATCAGGCTGTAGAAATGATACGCGGAACATTTTCACTTATGAAATTAAAGCCGAGTCGGCACAAAATGTGATGTCACAAATTTAGTTTTTTTCTGACTTTAATCTGCTGCCACTTGTATTTTTAAAATAGCTGTGTGAAAGCATACACTTCGCAGGAAACATAGAGGGGAATAACGATCCGAAAATGACAGTAATAGGTTAATCTTATAAATAATTCCCTCTGCCTACTAACGCGGATGTTGCTATAGTAATTGTTAGCACCCTGAAATTGCAATTCAGATGCCACCGGTTCACTGTCCTGGCACAGCAGATGAAAGTCCAAGTTTCTTAAATTCCATTGCCTCTGTCCACCCAGCCGTATAAATGGCGACACTAGAGTCAACTGGCTGGTCACGTGTGACAGAGCAAAGTGAGTAAACCACCGCTTCAATTACGTCTGGCTAGTGTGAAAGAGTAAGGTCAAATACCCTCTAAATGGGCCCTCTCGAGCCAGCTATGGCATGAGCAACACATTGCAGAGCTTGACTATTAACCTCGATTGCTTTACCTGTAAAATCCTTGCGGAGTCCCAAAACCTGTTGGGGAAGAACCCGTATTAGGACAATTCCATTTGTGGGTGTTTTGTATGAGGGAGTACACTCATGCGTACTCATGAAGCCACATAGATTCCATAATCCGTTGTATTGCCACCGGTCTATTTTGCTACCAAAGACCACAACACCTGGTTATTCCCATGACAGTCTCCCGTCCGAGTACTAACTTAACTTTAACTACAATTTACTGCCTCATTGTGACCTCCGCTTACACTTCCCAATCGTAACGATTGCATTTGCATCCGTGTTTCTCTGTATGCTGCCGCCTCACCGCAGATTTCATAAGTTGCCAACTTTTTGCCTGAAGAAATCTTGCATAATAGCATGTTTAGCATGTGCTTGTATCCATATTGAAGTCTGCAGATACTTGCCAATCAACCGATAATAAATGTGTTGATGTTACACTCGGTATTACGATTTTGTTTCTACGTACAGCCCAAGGTCTGGCTTCAGCAAAAAAAAAAAACCATTGATTTCTTGCAGCTGACAGATGGAAAATGCATTTGAGCAGAAGAATGTTACTGTACATTAGCGTACACCTCCATTAGCGTTCCACTTATGTGGATTAGTAACCGCCCAGGGAATCGTTTAAGAAGTCGCTGGCTATATAAACCCGAGGAAGGCGTGTGCAGATTTTCCATTCGCACGGCATTGCGATATTACATTTTCCATGAGCTCACAACTTTTATCTTTGAATGTATGCTGGATGTTACCAGTGAGGTGTATAATCTGTCACTCACATATATGTTCATTTCCTTTAAAGGAAATATCAGGCATCTAATAAACCAGAACCAGGACTGTCCTAGCTGAGAGACATTTTTGCATGGACACACGAGCCGTCTGGAACTCCCTTCCACTGAAAATTCGCAGCTTGTACGCTCGATTTTCAATTCTCAACTGATCACGTTGGATTATGATGAACTTTGAGCTTTGACTCCCAAGTTCTCAATCGAGCAATGCGTCCGATTCGCGATATATCTCCACCCTATTATTATTTTTTATCACACCAGTAATGCTACGTAAATAAATATGGGACGCTACGATCACCAGCTCTGCCGTGCTTAAGACCGCCGTGGGATATTGCATTACCTACTGTGGAAGCAAGGTCCAGTTTAATGAAGTTTTCAATTAAATTTGGATTTTGTATAGCATCTATGTGTAACCTCATCTCAAGGTGCTGTACATAAAATAATGGGACTCATGCATCTCTCATTTTATAAGCGCTGCAGCTTGAGGATGCCATCTGCTAACACTCACTGCCAGCACATCTGCTTATAACTACAGTAGTTCAGATACTCCTTGGAGACATAGATAGATAGATCCTTTATTGATAGATAAAATACCTGTTGCGTTTTCCCATCAGTGGTTACAGTGGCCAAAACGAATGTGGTGTGGTGTTCATGTCCATTGGTGGTTCTGAACCAATGGTGGAAATTCCACATTCCTATGAGGGGACCACTACATCTTGCATTGGACGACCACGAGAGTATGGATATATGCACGTTGAACTTATTTTGCACCACAACTAGCTATAAGGTAATACAGAGTATACATTATGATACGATTAATGGGATTGTCAAGTAATACTTTTCGAGTCTCATGCATGTTTAAACTATTACGTGGATACGGACAATAGCGTAACCCATTTAAACAATTAAGCTCTTTGAGCCTCATGTTTAGGTCAACAAGCAATCATACTTTAGTAGATCTAGATGTGAAGAGTGACAGTCTAATCAGTGATATGCCTTTTCATACACTTAATTCCAATGACAATGCTGAATATTTAAATCCAACCACAAAAGCCAATCGTACAACTTGTTGAGAGTCGAGTAATATGAGCTTCAATCAACCTCCATGGATCTGCCTTATTTTCTTTTAGACCACCGGATGTTTGTACTCATGACAACCGTAAAAACAAACACAACGATCAAATAACTTTGGCCATTAAAGTCAGCCTATTGTATTGTTGGGGAAACCTGGCAGGTGTTTCACCTTCATGTTCAACTGAAGCTTGGTTTGGTTTCAGAAACTGTACTTTGCTAAAGCAAGGTTAAAGGCACAGCCCTGCAATCGCTTGTTCTCACCACTGCTGGCAGAATTTACTTCTTCATCCAGGAGAGCCGCACTGAGTCGTATCACTCTTTTTTCAGGAGGATCCTGCATTGGATTTTTTTTAAAAGATGCTTTAATCCAATTAATGACGAGTGTTTTATACAAATGGGAAGAAACCGGAGCACCCAGAGAAAATCCACGTGCGCAAGGGAGGGGGGGGGGGGGGGAACACTCTATCCCCGTACAGATGGGAACAGATGGCGATTAGTCCAGTTGTTCTCCTGGCGAGCCAGGTTATGGCACCTCAACGCCCACGGGAAGAGGGTTTCACTAAATTTGTGTGATCCACCAACCCACGCCTCCACAGTGCTGGATTACGGGTATGCTCCACCGCTGTCGAGGGAGCTCCAAGGAACCCCTCGACAGGGTATGTGACCTACCCTTTCACGCTGCCAAGAGGTGGAAGCACCCAACCTTTACCCCATCGCAAGTATAACCTGCCCATCACTACTGCTGGGTGGACAGAGGCGGCCATATTTAAGAAACTTGCACCATTATTTCAACTGCCACGCCGCGAAATTGAATCGGTGGCCCTCTGGATTGCAAATGCGGTGTGCTGAACTTTACACCGCGGCAGCATCCATGTGCTTACAGTATCGATAACTATGAAGACCGGGCTTTAAAGGCAGTGAGTAGAGATTGCCTATTTAAAATGTTACTAGGGACAAGAGGCCAAGTGGCTTGAGGGGGGTAATCCTATGTTTGAACAATGAGCCGGGAGATGCTTCAGGATGCTGGGTTTGACCCCGATAACCGGCAGTTGTGAAGCCGAGCTCGCAAGCTCAGCCAGTCGGTTACAGCCCCAGCCCAGTCACCAATGGCTGCACACAAAAAACCCACTAATCACATTAAACGTGGCCTCTCACTTAATTGAGGATATTCCAGCGCTGAGAACTAACAAATGTTAACTCTGTCATGCGATGAGCACTCCTACAGCAGGACATGTGAGATAGTGCATCACCTAATGTGGATTAATGGTAATTTGAGGGACTTCAGATTTAATACCATGAAGTCATATTTCAGAAGCTGTTCTCTGGTATGCACTACTTTGTGACAGTTTTGAATGACAATTTCATCTCATGATTAGACTACAAAGCAAGTGGCTAAAATAGTTTTAAAGATGTTGCTTTTTACAAAGTAAGTAACTGAATCATGTAAGTTTCTGTACATGCTAAAGTGTTGGCAGTGTAGGCATCAACAGGTTTTTTTATATGGATGGACTTGACTCTGCCGCAGTAATGTGGACTTTCCATATGGCCACCAGAGTAAATAAACATTGGCTCGTTACTCATTTGTGCAGGGAGATACTTAGAATTGTAACTTCTAATATCTCAAGCAATAAATTAGAAACTCATCACATTCCAAAAGTAGCCTTTCCCCCCCCCCCACCACCAACGCCGCTTTTCCCTTCTGGGTCTCCTCTGCTACCCCGTGGTCTGGAATTTCCTTCCCCCATCCCTCGGCGCTTTACATGCCTCGCGCCTGTTCAAGTGGAAGCTCAAGCCCTTCCACTTCTCCTCTCCCCGTGACTTCATTCTCTGTCGAAGCAGCACGCCCACGTTGTCTGCGCGGCATCGCGAGACGCGACTTGCACGTGGACGCCCCATTCATCCAAATTGTAACTTACGGCACAGTACAAGAGTGGCGCTGCAGTGTGCGAGATGTTATCTCCTCCGCCTGGTATGCAGGAGATCGTAGATTCGATCCTGACACTGACGCCTGTAACGTTGGGAGTTTACATGTTCTCCCTGTGGTCGCATGGATTTTTCTCAAGGTCGTTCCGCTGTTTCCCTCCACATTTAGGAACGTGTGTGTTGAGCCTTGAGCTGCTATGAATGTGCACATGATAAGCCAATTCGTCATAACCAGGTCGCTCCTGAAAAAAAGAGACATTTAGTTCAATGGGCCTTACCTGGCAAACATAAATAAATCAATATCGTGCGTCCGACTCACTGGAGGCTGAGGTATTCGTCGTGCATCAATACTGCAATGGATGTGTGTGCGCGGTTAATTGGTCAGGGCGGATACGCGACTGTCGGATATGCGTCGTTGTGCTGTATCGTGCCACAAATCAGAGGCGCCGACCGGGTCGCTCGTTCTTGACGGCTGAGCGTACGTGCTTCTCACACGCGTGTTGCAGACGGGCTCTCCAAGGCCAAGGAGGAGAACGTGGGCATTCACCAAGTGCTGGACCAAACCCTGCTGGAGCTCAACAACATGTGAAGAGCCCCCACGTAACGTGACCCAAGCGACGTCTCCTCACCCCCCCCACCCCAACCTGCGCAGCCCGACGTCGCAAACGCAAAACAAAAACCGCTGCCCAGCACCCGTTAACAAAGACCACGCAGTTGGTTGTGGACCAATCCTAATACGAGCTCCACATTGGCCAACAATTGAGACATTCCACACATGCACACGTAAAAAAGAGTCCCGCGTCTTAAAGATGGAACTCTTCCACTTTGCACAGGGAGTGCCTGCGTCTTTGCTGTTGCCTCACTTCTGGCGATTGTTGGTCTAAGCGATTCTTTCTGTCTCTACTCTCTCCGATGTGTGTGTTGGCTTGTACCGCGTGAATTCAGTTCTTGTAGAAGCTCCCAAGAACGTGGGGTGTGAAATGTTAGACACCGTTCCGAACACCATGAGGTACAATCTGAAAAAAAACACATGGGGGAGCTATAACAGTGCACACTTACTCAGTGAAAAAAAACATTGTTATACAAAAAGTCAAAGTGTATTCGCGCTCAAACGAGCATTGGGATGACAACTCATTTTGTTGATGGCCCAGAGGCAGCATGGGAAATTCTGCATTTCCATGATGGGGCAAATTGCTCCATAAAATTACCACTGTTGACTGCCTACAAAGTAGTCATTATTTTTCGATTTAAAGCTTTCGTGACTGCAGGGATTCATATTCTTGGTTCTTTCGGTTAAGTCACGTAGAAGGGAAATAATACAATAATACAAATAAAACAATACAATTCTCACGACGTTTCGATTGCAACACAAGCAATCATCATCAGGTGTGAAAACCACAGCTAGTCATTATTTTGCCAACCTTAAGGAGGCCCAAAAAATGGGATATGAACTTCCAATCGAGTGATCTAACTACAGCACCGCCTCGCTGGTCGTTTATGCCATCCATGGTTAATGTTGCCCGATATGCTTTTGTCTTTAGACTGCAAAATTAAATCACCACTATCACCACTGAGAGAGAATGTAACTTGTGGACCTCAAGTAATCATTTACAAAGCATTGTGCCAGGGCTGTGAAACGTGATTTTGTGCACACGTATGCGTCTTTCGAAGTGTAAACGTGTTCGCAGAGATTGCGTCATTTGTTGAATAGATATAATCGAAAGAACCGATCGATTTTATTTCACATAACTCCTTGTGCGCACTGACCAAGATGGCCTTAATTTTGACCAAAAATGTACGTACCTTGGTAGACGGTATTCCTAATAAAATGTGGCACCCATTCGTCCATCGTCTAAGTCTGCCTCTTATCGTCTTAGCTCGTCCCCGCTGTAGAAGGCTAATGTTCGTCATTGGCTTTCAAGTGCCAGTCCTTGTGCCTCCTCGCATCGACTTACCGTGACTGTTATTGTGGTGTGGGCAGGAGGTGAGGTTGATATTGTCTTACTGGTTAAATGAAGCTACCTTAACACATTTGGCATTTATACGTGATTCTGAAAACAAGGCTGTATACTCGATTTGAAAGCTGTGCAATTTAAAATAAAGTTCTTAAATAAGTGAAGATATGACCATTTCTACGTGTTCTTACATGTTTTTGTTATATATTATATTTTGTTTTATTACGTATGCGATGAAACAATGTCTACCATGAAGATAGCCTATGTAATGTTTACGTGTAGTTAAATCTTTTGCATCTAAGTATAACCCATATTCCAAAGGCATGGACGATAGCTTTTAACAAGATGCGTGGCTAATGATTAACTGGAAACTGCCTGCTTTTAAATTCATTAAAGTCAAATGTAGTAGTACTGTATATCCACATTTCCTATGGTTGAATCAACCAACATCCTCCCCATCTCTAAAGGTTTCAGAAGCTAAGCAGTGTTGAGCCCGGATTGTGCTTTGGATGAGTGAAGGCCGTATGTAGCACAGGTGTTATAGGCTACTGGTGAGCTACGTTGTGGGCACCAGAGACCAGTGCATCCATTGTTGTACTCTACTGTCCTCACACATTTGCGCTCCCCACATTTACTAACTCCCACTGACCAGCGCGATTAAAAGTATATAGTCAAATTACCATGACGACCTGCAAGGCACGGGGAGGCCCTCGCCCAACAGTGGATTGTATGTGTTTTTTTAAACTTCTTTCGCACCGTACGCAGTCAACCGTACTAAACGGAGGCGTGAAAGATGTGCAAATGATTTTTTTTAATCAAAGAGGATGCATTTCAATGCACACAAGAGCAGGGAATGTCTCCAGGCTCTCGAGCAACGGGGCAGCCCTTATCTCCATCGGTGGCCCCGAGTCCGTGGATGTCAATGGCAAATCCCGATGGTTGCAGCCAATTCCTCAGGGGCACCACCACAATGTTGAATTTTGGACTTCCCACAAAGTATTCCTGGTTCTTTCGGTAAAGTCACGTAGAAGGACGGCTGCTTGCGTTGTGGCCGAAACGTCCCTTCTACGTGACTTTACCGAAAGAACCAATAATATGAATCCTGCAGTCACGAAAGCTTTACATCGAAATTTTTCCACAAAGTGTCACTCATTTTAGCTTTCCAATGTGTCGCGCCTGGTGTTGTTGGGCATGGTGTCCGACGTTTCACTGCACGTGCCGAATGACACGCTACAACCCTAAAACACATCGGAGAGCTAGCTATACAACACAACTGTGAATACCTATATAGAAGCGGTTACTCAAATTAACATCGCTGGAGGGATGGGACGATGTTTCCCCTGACCTGTGATTTAACTCACAATCCACAAGCGTACCCAGTTGTATTAGTTTCACGTAGCACATTATATATCAGCGACGTATATAAAGAATGTTGTGGATTTTTGTAAACTATTCGTAGGCATTGTATAAGCCCGGGGTAACATCAGTGGCAAGTAATATCTGAAGCGGTCCTGGATAGCCTATTCAACCGGTACTTGCCGGTGTGGTTAGGTATGGTCAACCGACCTCCATGATTGACCTGCCATAGGAGTAGGCCGTCATCCAGCAGTGGATTGAGAATGTAATGTGCCTTATTATACACAGGTGACCGTCTTATTTTCAGGAACCGTTTTAGAGTTTGGCAACGATCCAAATGATTGGTGGTGGTCAACTTGACAGAGCAACAGTTTTATTTCCCAAAATGCTCCACGCCAGCACCATTTTGTACAGTACATAGCGACAAGGTTTCCTTGGGGAAATGATACGGGCTGCTCCACGTTTTACCATACACATTACATATAGCCAAATAAAATAACTGTTAACTTCAAGCACATTCTATAATTCAGCTTCATGATAAATATACTGACAAGGTGACATTTACAAGTGACAACTTTCTGTCAAATCAGATCTGCCCCGAATGCATCTTTAGTGTTGCATATCTTTCCACACGGCAAAAGCTATTCGGTTGTTTAGCTTGCGGGCAAATGATTTGTCAATTTTTCTGCCAAATGTTGGCAGAATCTTCTTATGTCAGGACATGAACCTGGCTCCTGATTTAGGGCATACATATGGAGCAGAAGGCAGGGAAGCAAAAATTCAGAATCGGAATATTTATCTTGGAAAAATCCCATGAGCAATGAAGCTCTTTTTCACAGATGTCCAGTAGGGGCGGGTCAAAAAGCTACAACAACAAAATATACAAAAACAATAGGAGTGGAAAGTATAGGAAAGGTAAGCAAATCACTAAAAATAAATACATAACATAGATAAAGTATATAAGTTCAATTCATATTACCCCTGAAATAAACTCTCTGCATTGGCTTCCAGTTAAATTTCGGGTATAATTTAAAGTACTGCTGAAATCGGAGAATCCAGAAAAGGGTAGGCACATGAGCCCTGGAGAAATTAACAACTTTTGGTGCGCCCAATTCCAATTTTACATTAAGATAACCATCTCCGCTTCTGCTGACCCCAGGGTCCTTGTGCCACGCCCACTTTGTTGGGCGCACTGCAAGTTGACACTTGGGCTACGCCCATCTTAAACCTTTAAAAACAGCTTGCCTTTGGGAGCTTTCCCTCCTTTTTTCACCTGAAGACAGTCGCTTGTATTGCGATCAAAACGTCGTGGTTTTTTGTTTATTTTTATTAATTTGAACCTATGTGACTTTACCGAAAGACCCAAAGAATATGAATTCCTGCAGTCACGAAAGCTTTAAGTCAAGCCATGAAATAGTTGTTGAAATTCCATCTTACCGTTCCTGGACCAAGACAACAACTTATCATGCAAATTGGTACCTATTGTATCTACCTTGGAGAGATGATAGGCTGAGTCAATGGCAATGGTTTTATAAAAAAAAAATTGTGCACTTATTTAGTCCTGGAATTTCAAAAGCAAATGTCACTTCTCCCTGAATGCACGGCAAAGTCTAAGTAGGCTATAAGTTACAGTTGATCTTCTGGGTTCTTTCGGTAAAGTCACGTAGAATGGGAATAAAATAATAAAAATAATAACAGAATAAAATTCTCACGACGTTTCGGCCACAACACAAGCAGCCTTCCTCAGGTGAAGAAACAGGACTGTCACTTAAGGGCTGTCTTCCAGACAGTCCTGTTGTCCTGTTTCTTCACCTGAGGAAGGCTACTTGTGTTGTGGCCGATATGTCGTGAGAATTTTATGCTGTTATTATTATTTTTATTATTTTATTCCCATTCTACGTGACTTTACCGAAATAACCCAGAAGATGAATCCCTGCTGTCACAAAAGCTTTAAATCGAAAAGTTACGGTTGGTTTCTATTGCTCAACACAAGAGTATTTTTCATCATGTAAAACTTTTTTAAACACATTTACCGACTTGCAATGTATTTACCCATAATCTCGATGAATGTCATGTTTTAACAGGAACAATAACTCAAGCTATTTCAATCTTACCTCCACTATTTAATCGGCAAGTTGATGAGCACACCAGTTCATGGGAATATTTCAGAGCCACGGTGCGCATTTTAAAGCCTGTGCTAGAGCTGCACTGGCACCGTTACAGGGAATCCAAATGCCAAACATGCTGGCAATGCTCGGGATGAATTGGTGGAAAGTTTGGCCGATTGAGCAAATTCATCACTCCTTCTGTTGCATTAAATCCTTTATGAAGGGGCTAAAAATTGGCAGATTGATTTTTGAGAGGCAGAAAATTGTCTTACAACAGTACAATTTAAATTGCGTCTAAATGCAAATTGTGTCTCAAGATGCTTTATGAGAGAGGCATCAGAGAAAAAGGTGACATGGGCATAGAGGCAAGGGAGGAGGGAGAGAAATATCGAGGCAGGGCGCACAAAGACAAATACCTCCCGTAAAGCCTGAACAGATTGTTGGAGCCAGCGCTGTCAGTGAGCACCTACGAAGGCCGGCACTGTGGCACACGAGGGGGTGGATGGCCAACATCATGCTCGGCCGCCTTTGTTTCCCTAATAGTGATCTTTACACACTGCACCAGGTACTCATATGAGGCTGAGTCAACCTAGGGGAGGCCCCGGTTCACTGCTGTTGGCCGTGCGCGGGCCCGTAGCGCAGTGTGCTCACCATTGCATCACCGCACACAGTGCACAACAGCCGTATTTAAGGCTTATTCAACTTATGGGAGACCCAGAACCTGTTAAGATTATCACTCGCCACTGATTTAGCCGTGGGTAAACATTGAATTCACTCCACCACGGAGTGAATTCACTCACAGATGCACACATACACACTTTACACCCTCCATGCATACGCACGCGCGATTCCACAGCGTTTCGTGTTTTGCAATCCAATTACCTTGTGACGCCACGTCTGTCTTTGGGAGAGGATTATCCTCGATTCCAGTGCGAGAGCGACCCGAAATCCAGACAGCCAGATGTTGCGTCTTTCTGTCGGTAATTCTGCTACTGTCTTGTAAGCCCCTCGTGATGCAGCGTACGAAGCATGGCTGGCCCCGAGGCAGGTGACCTGGGTTCAAATCCCTGACAAAACTTTTGCGACGGTGACATGGCCCAACGGTAGTGCGTTTTCCCGCTTGTCGCAGAGGTTCGTTGTTCGAATCTGGCCGGCCACCCTGGTTACTGCTGCAGGCGTGTTAACCGTAAACATATGCACTGTTTGCATCACAGAGTAAGCCATAGTGTGCCGGTGTCATGGCCCAAATGTTCTAAATCAGAAAAATTACCTGCAAATTCCTCAATTGGCATTACACATAGCCACATCGCCCACGACTATGAAACTACTGCAGACTGAGTATGTTTTTTGTTTGCATTCTGACCACAAGGTATTGTGGTTAATGCAGATATGAGTCCTTTTAAATGATTTCAGTTTCGTGTTTTAACATCTTAACACCTGTTTTGTTGCCAGAAAAAAAGGGGAACACCTATTATCAATCAATTGTTATGTTTTAACATTGTGTCGAATGGGTACCACCGATAGTGTATGTGGAGATCACAAGAACCTATTACATGCAATATGCCTGACCTATGAAGCCACTGATGACTGCTCGCACGATTTGATATATGCATCGTGAGGTTAACAGTTTATTTTAAACGATACATTGATGCACATTGACACAACTTGTGAGCGTGGAGGTTTTTCTAACTTGATGCAATTTCATCGGCACA